TGTAAATTCAAGATCGACACAATAGGGTTTAGGGTTTAGAGTTTAGGGTTTAGATTTAGGGTTTAGGGTTTAGGGTTTAGGTTTAGGTTTAGGGTTTAGGGTTTCAGGTTTAGATTTAGGGTTTAGTGTTTAGGTTTAGGGTTTAGGGTTTAGGGTTTAGATTTAGGGTTTAGGTTTTAGGGTTTAGGTTTAGGGTTTAGGGTTTAAATTTAGGGTTTAGGGTTTAGGTTTAGGGTTTAGTAATGCTCACTTGAGTGAAGTAATAAACGATAATTGAGGAAAGAAAACAGGGATGGTAAAACGTTAATGAAAGAAAGAAATGTTGTGGAGGATGATATATTTACCAAGTGAAACCAAATCGGGTGTATCTAGCATGTTAAAACGACATATTTTAGAAGTTTAGTACCTAAGCTTAGGTGAGGCTGTAATGTATATTCCCTATCCCCTATATATATATATATATATATATATATATATATATATATATATATATATATATATATATTCACACACACGGGAGTTAGGGTATCACTTATAAGTCAGTCAAGGCAAAGGTTGTATGAGTTATTTCTTTGTTATAACAAGTAATTTCCTTTAATCCTTTGTGTTCGTTCTACACCAGTTTCATTCTTTATACTTTAGTAAAAGTCATTGTAGAGCTCTTGAACTTTTATAACTATGAAACATTAAAATAAATCATTTCGTAATGGTGCAAATAGTTAACCTATGAGTTAAATATAATAATTTGCAAATTGTTAGCACATGTTTTGAAATTAGAGATTTTTACCTTTTAAATATGGTTTCTTGTTTAATGCCAAAAAATGTCATACAAAGTAGCCGATCGAACATAAACAAGCCTTATTCGTGTTCGTTCGTTTAAATTTAACCGAACAAATGAACAAACATGAACGCATGAATAAATAAATTTCATTGATTATGTTTGTTCGTTTAAAAAATTATTTTGTTCATGTTCGTTTATGTGTGTTTATGTTCATTGGTTAAGATGGTAAACCAACTTAAATGAACCAACAAAAAAGAAGAACATAAACTAACGTAACTGAAAGGATGTAAACAAACAAACATTATATATATATATATATATATATATATATATATATATATATATATATATATATATATATATTGTGACATCCCCATTTTCACGGTCAGAAAAGATCGATTTGTTTATGCTTTGTTTTATAAAATCAGAGTAATCTTTTAAAAAAACGGTTGCGGAATTTATTCCCAAAACAAGATATGATAATAACTTATCAAAACATTTCTCAAAGAGAATGTATTTTCATTTAATAATAAAACATCGGGATGTCATGTTCTGATATAGACATATAAGCATAAACAGAACTTATATTCAATTAGACTAATGATTTACGTATCCTTTAATCTCTCAGTGCAAAGCAGCTTCGTATCGATACCTGTGATACAATTAAACTGAGTGGGTCAGGCTTGAGAGCCTGGTGAGCATATATGGTTTTCAACCCATAATATTATATCATATATATATATATATATATATATATATATATATATATATATATATATATATATTAAATCATCAAACAATCAACCCAATTACCCATCCCCGTTATCTCCATTTATTTCTTAAGTACCTTCCCTAAGGAATTATCCTAAGGGTCATCTCCTACATCGTATTTACCTCTCATCTCCTTACATCACATTTCCTTGTATGTTTGTTCCTAAGGACTTTTTCCTAAGGATCATCGCATGAATACGTAGTCACAACATCGCCTGGACTAGTAAGTCATAATAAGGGTTAGACTATCATCGCATGAATACATAGCCACAACTTCGCCTGGACTCGTAATTCATAGTAAGGGTTAGAGTATCATCGCATGAATACGTAGCCACAACATCACCTGGACTCGTAATTCATAGTAAGGGTTAGAGTATCATCGCATGAATACGTAGCCACAACATCGCCTCGACTCGTAATTCATCACCTACAGGTTATGAGCCTGCTGGTGTTTCCACGGGGTCATCTAGAATAGTCCGTGGTCGCCATCTATACTCTGGTAGATGACTACATCGCCAAATTGCCACCTTGCCGGTCAAGGTTATGGTATCTTCTCTCATCTCACATCACCTATTTATCATCACCTATTTCTCATCAGCTTTCTATCATCACCTATTTCTCATCACCTAATTATCATCACCTATTTCTCATCACCTAATTATCATCACCTATTTCTCATCACCTAATTATCATCACACATCATCTAATTCATCTACCCATGTTCTACCCAACATATTTGTAGATATAAAATACATATACATATTAACTCATTTAATACCTATATAAAACATCCATTCCAGACTCATCTCAAATAAACAACAATATATAAACACGTAACACATGTTTCGTATAAAATACTTCATAATTATGCGTTAGAAGAAAGTAACTACACACTCACTTGATCAGAAGATGATCGGACAACACTACGGCTTGTAGAAGTAGTATTCTTCGATAGATCTGGAATATCTTCACAAAAATCGGACTTCTCGCGGACAAAGCTTCGGCTCGGGAATTGCACTTCTCGGGACCTTCAGGGCCTCGGGACTTGCTTCGGGGCTCGGGAATGATACCGGGGCTTCGGGATATTTCTTGCACGAAAAACGATGCAAAAACGCGAGAAAACGGGTAGAAATGAGCAAACTACTCGGCTGCCCTCGACACCCTTTTATAGGGGCTGGAAGGCCGATTTACGCGGGGCGTAATCTTAGGTTACGCGGGGCGTAACCTAGATAAGCCCGGTGACTCCCCCCTTGGATAATATCGAAAATTTATATTTAAATAAAATATCAAAAATATTTAATAAACTTCAAAAATTCATATCTTCCTCATACAAACTCCGTTTTCAACGTTCTTTATATCCACGCGTAGGCGAGACTACGATCTACAACTTTCGTTTAGACTCCGTTGGCTAATTTTGAATTTATTTTTATTATTTATTTTTAGTAGGCCGGGACAGCAAAACTCCGTTATAAAATCATAACTTCTTCATCCGACGTCCGTTTTCGCCTATCTTTTTATCGTTTTACTACAATTAATGAGATCTTCAATTCTCATTTTGATTGTTTCGGCTAAAAACCGCTCGGTCTCAAATCGAGCATTCGGGTTGCATACTGCTAAGTCGAAACTTCGAAAAATCATAACTTCCTCATACGAAGTCAGATTTGGGCGTTCTTTTTATGCACGCTCATGGTTTAACGTATTCTATGACTTTAATTTAGATTGCTAAGGCTAAATATTGCTCTAACGTAAATTCACTTTTTACGTCGCGCTGTGTCGTGGCGGTTCTGTCGCGAAACTTCGACAGGTCATAACTTCTTCGTTATAACTCGGATTTCGGTGTTCTTTATATGCACAGAAACCTTGTAACATATACTATAACTTAATTAATATTATTCCTTCAAAATAATCTTCCATCAAAAAGTCATTTTTGACGTTTAACGTCTCTAATTGACTAGCCCGGATATACGGGCGTTATATATATATATATATATATATATATATATATATATATATATATATATATATATATATATATATATATATATATATATAGGGGATAAGGAATATACATTACAGCCCCACCTAAGCTTGGGTACTAAACCTCTAAAATATGTCGTTTTAACATGCTAAATATACCCGGTTTGGTTTCACTTGGTAAATATATCATTCTCCATAACATTTCTTTCTTTCATTATCGTTTTATCATCTCCGTTTTCTTTCCTCAATTATTGTTTATTACTTCATCCATGTGAACATTACTAAACCCAAAACGTAAACCTAAACCCTAAATCTAAACCCTAAACCCTAAACCCTAACCCTAAACCCTAAACCCTAAACCTTAAACCCTAAACATAAACCTAAACCCTAAACCCTAAGTCCTATTGTGTCGATCTTGAATTTACATCTTGAAGTATTAATCGTGAGTCCATTAACCGTAATTTTTATATAATAAAACAATGTATTTTCAAGAGGTTTAGTACCTAAGCTTAGGTAGGACTGTAATGTATATTCCCTTTTCCCATATATATATATATATATATATATATATATATATATATATATATATATATATATATATATATATATATATATATATATATATATATATATATATATATATATATATGACCATTAAAATCCAAAAAAGAAACCATGCATAAATACATATATAGCAAATCATATAATGAAAAACATCAAAAAATACTTAAAATATAATACTTATTTTTTCCAAATATCAAGTGCAAAACAAAAACTCGCATTAGCTTCATCACATCAAGCATCTTCTACAAACGAATATAATCAAACATAAACAAATGAACATAAACGAACGAATAACACCAATGTTTATGTTCATTCATTTATTAAACAAACGAATTTAAACAAACTTTCTACCGAATAGATCATGAACGATTCTTTAAACGTTCAATTTGTTTACAACTCTAATACGAATACCATATTCCTTAATGGAATACTTAACTTTGGATATTGTACGAGTTTGAGATCTATCTTATATCAACAGAAAACTCTCAACAAATCGAAGCTCCTTAACAACTTTTCTGAAAAGAAAAGATTATAAAGAGAGCCACCTAATTTTTAGTAAACTCCACCTTGGTTATGAGAGAGTCCCTTTTATTTATAAAATTCCACTTTTCCCATTTAGAAAAATAGGACAGTACCCCCCACATTTGATGGATATCTATTAAAGTTGAAGGTCAAACACTTATTTTATTTGTGGGACTCTTTGTGGGTCAAGTACTTCTAGTATTCATGTTTCACATGATATATATTTGTTTAAAACATAACTTAATTATATTAGCAAACCATTAAACACGATATTTATTAATTTGCTAACCATTTTTAATCTTAGCCATTAATTTTTTTCCTTTTATCAAACAATCCATATCATATTTAATTTTGTGTGCATGCATGACGAGTCATTGATTCCTAAAGGGACTCGTAGGATGATCTAAAAATCACACGCAACCTTAAATATCGTACTTATCTTAAAATATATTATATGAATCCGATATTTGTTGTGTGGTTGAAATTACATGTTACAAAAGAAACCGGTGGGAGATAATGAAGAGGTGGTCAAATTCTGGAATTTTGCATTTAAATTGACGTTGCCTTCGTTTGCTTCGTTCTGATCCATTTGAGATAATGTTCGGTGAGTTCTCACCAAACTTTTCTTACACAATTAAATTCAAACATCTGAAATATAAAATACCAATGATTACGTAATATTTTGCATGAATTTTTAATAATATTTATTGGAAAATGTAGTTATTTATCATGAAATACTATATATTAAAGTAATACAAACAGGTGTCTCCTATTGACTTGTGTTTTTTAATAAATGGTTTTAAGATACGGATAACATGAACTTTACTTTTTCAAGGATATTAAGGAGATGACAATCTCATCCTATTCAGTAATCCACAATTGATTTTAGTTACTTTTTGTCTCCAAAATATCAAAGATAAAGTTTAAAAATAAAAAACCAAAATTGCAACAGTGTAAAACTTTATTTAAAAAACATATTACTAATTATAGTAACATAGTTTTATATATCTCATATTTGACACTGAAAATATATTAACGTTTTGACCCGTAATATTCTTTTTGCTTTGTCAGCTCTAGCCTCTCGTTTACGAGGCTATTATATTTATTATCATTATTATTTTAAAATTTAAAATTTTAAAATAGAGAATAATACAAGGACAGAATATTCATGTGTACGAATAAATCTAACTCAAACGAAAAGACTCTTTATTCTGATTAAAAGGAATCAATCTCCTGTTGCATGTGTCACAAAACTGGCCATAGGCGTAGATTGACATGATACCTTCACAAAATTCCCTTTATATTTTTTCAAATCTTCAATTCTTATTTTAACTTCAATATTATCTAAAACCATTCATTTCCATTTTCCCAACACTTCAATCCAATTTTTTTTTTTTTTTAAGCTTCTATTAAAGATAAAATTATTTATAATCGTCATATGTTATTTTGAGATCCAATCATTAGCTATTACACACAACTAACGAAAATTGAAAAATCCACCTTTTTTTTTAGGAGAATGAGAGATTCTGTGATTTGGCAAGTTGTGTTTGTCGACGACCCAAATGAAATCCCGTAAATATCCATAAAATAGAAATCTGGATAAGATTAAAAGCGAAAAAAAATAAATATATAAATAAGTAAAAGAGCATAATAATAATAAAGTAATATAGATAGACAGTTGATGGAATCTGCATACGGGCATAGCATAAAGCGAAATATGTGTCGTTTTGCCATTGAGATTGCTGTAAAGTAACTTATACATCCCAGCTGCCGTAGCATCTCCAAATCTTTGCACAAGTACATCTATGCATACCTGTCAAAAAAATACTGTTACTCTGTCTCTCTGACTGTTACTGTGACTGAGTGCGGACTCGGACTGTTTTTTTCTTTTCCGTTAGCCGGTACGGATAAAATGGTGGAATACGTGATGATGTATGTTTGGATAAATTGTTTCTATTTTGAACCGTCTGATTGAGAGTAAATGACGATTTTACCCTTGGACTTCATTGTGTTTGTACCTTAGCTTTGTATTTTTCATCTTGTGATACGACGGTGAATAGTAGTTCTCTTCCTGGTCTAGTTACGACATAGGTTACCACCTGTAAAAACCATTAATTACGTGTTTTTATATTATTTATCAGGCCGAATTCCACAAAAGTCGCTAAGTTTACATGAAAATTTCGATTTCGACACTGTTATTTTTTGTCTTGAATTTGACATTCCGTTTACCAATTTGTTACGATTCTGACCGTTTGACCGGTCAACCAGGTTACCTCATGAATTGTCAAAATTGAAAGGAAAAAAATAGAGTAAATTACATGAATGGTCCCTAGGGTTTAGGGTAATTTGCGTGTTTGGTCACTAACTTATTTTTTTAACTCGGAAAATCCCTACGGTTTGTTTTTGTTACGTACTTGGTCCCTATGTTACCTAAAAAGCGTATTTTTCCCTTGATTTTTTAATTTAATTAAATAAACACATCCCTAACCCCACCCCTTACTTTACCTTACCTACCCCACCATTTTTCCCTTTTAAATAATAGTCTTTTTAGGTAAGATAGGGACCAAACACGTAACAAAAACAAACAGTAGGGACCAAGAGTGTAACAAAAACAAATAGTAGGGACCTCCCAAGTTAAATAAATAAGTTAGGGACCAAACGTGCAAATTACCCCAAACCATAGGGATCATTTGTATAATTTACTCAAAAAATTATCACAAAAGACATTTAAGTTTTCAATTTTTTCAATTTTGACACTCGATTTTTTTTTGTTCCAAATCATTTTTTCCAATTTTCGTTGACACTCCATTCTTTAGTGACTTTTATGGAATTTACCCTTATTATTATTATTATTATTATTATTATTATTATTATTATTATTATTATTATTATTATTATAAAATTAAAGAAAAAAACCTTCCGGATGGTTTCTGAGAGAGCAACTGAAAAATAAGTTGGCCAAACAGCGATTGTAATTGTATTCAAGAAGGATATAAATGGTGCAGAGCAAAGAGCAACAGTAACTCCAGCTACAGTAAGTATCCGACCCTGTAACAAATAAAAAAAGAAAAAATATTAATTTCTCTTTCTTTTTTATTAAAAAACTCATTAGAAATACAAATATCTTGGAAGAATTATACTGTTAAAGTAAGCTGTCCAGCAAGGATAAAAACAGCTATAAAACTATTGATTTGTGCAAATAATCGTCTTCTTTCAGTAGGGGTTGTAACAGTTGAGGCAATTACTGTTACTTTCTGCAGTTGAATTATAAAACAAGATAAATTAGAAAAAGAAAATATCAGAATAAGAAAAACTAAAGTAATGTTCTTATACCTGGAAGTAGAAGAAGGAAGAGGTGATTGCACCTAGAAACAAGAACAATGATACAACTAACAAATAACTTGAAGCCCATATAAGTGAAAATCCATCTAGTAAAGCCCAAAATCGAGGCTTTGTTGAATCAAGATTTGAAGTTGACACAATTGGTGAAGAAGACGATGAATCTGGTTCGTTCATCTCATCTTGATCATCAACTTTTGTTTTTCTAGAAATAAAAAAAATAAAAAAAAAAAGATGGAAGTTAAGAGAAGATATTAAACAAGATTTTTCCATAAGAACAGAATGACAAATAAATAAGAACCTGAGAGAAACCATTTCTTCAGAAGAAACAGATACATCCTTATTGATCCTTTTAGATGTCTGTGCAGCAAATTCCATCAAGACAGCAGCAAATAGCAATAGATCTGATAACAAAAAAGGCAAAAAGATTTTTGTGTAAGAGATATGAATCTTGATAAAAGAAGTAATGAACATAAAATAGCTAGATAGATTCAAAAACCATTTCTCAAAAAACAAAAAGATTAATGATTAATCTTACAGGGTCCCACCCAGGCCATTGCTGTAGCAAACAATGAACCAAAAAGTTGACCAAAAGTAGCACCAGCACCTATAAATCCAAACAGTCTTGAACCTGACTGAATACAAGATGGAGTTAAAACTTAAAACATGAACAAAGTCACAAACACAAAGCAAACACATACAATGCAAACCCATTACACACCTCATTGTCCATAACATCAATCACTCTTGCCCATGTTGAAGATATAGTTATAAGATTTAGTAGAGCAACCTATAGTTTTGTTAATTGTAATCATCAATCAGAGAAACTGAAAAAATATAAGTTAAGATTGAAAGGGAAAAGCGTGATTACCCATAAGAAGAACCCTATTCTGACTGAAATGTAAAACCATCCATGCTTGTCCCAATCGCTAGGGTTTGTGGAAACAGGTTCGGTTTCAACCTTTATTTCATCTTTAATGGTGGATGAGACAGAGAAGAAACCCTAAACATGTAAAATTTGATGAATGAGAATGTGAGAAACGATGTCTTAACTTCTTAAGACACAACTTGAACAGATGTTATGTAGTTTACCTTGAAGGTGGGAAATGTATTTGCGGGAGAAGATAAAGCCCATAATATGAAAAACAGCACAAGACTTGCACTGAAAAACCTGTGTATCAAGACCAAAGCCTGGAATTCAACAAAAACTTATTACAGGAGATGTATGAAGTCCAGATTCATTTAAGTAAAAGCATTTCACATAATCACATTTGAAAAGAAACGCATAAGCAATGGAACTTCATAGCAACTCTTTCTTCAATTATTCGAAATCCACACTAAACCTAACTACCGTTAACCTAAAACCATCATTAGAATCCAGCGCTCGCGCCATTATTTGAACATAAGTTACATAACTGGTAAAATTTCATAAAAATGGGGAAATCGGAGGACATAATGTACGTAGTATGTACCTTAGCTTTAGGAAGATTAGGCAATGAAAAGATGAGAGTTGAAAGAGGGGCAGCAATCAATGTAAGTATCAAGGATCCCACAAAGAGTCCCGGAATATTGCCAATACCCAAGGAGATAGCACCTTCATCTCGTAATGGCAAAACCACAAAATACGCACTTAATACCTGCATATCAGAATGAAGTAATTATAATTGGGATCGAAATCGGGAAAGACACAAGGTGTGTAATCTGGAATAGAAGGAATTACAAAGAAGAAAGAAGAGGTGGAGTAGAAAACGGAGTAGGTTTCGTGAGGATGAATATTGAGGAAGAAGGATAGGAAGGATTGAATTGGGGATCTTGCTGCGATCATCTTGTATCTTAGTTTTGTTCGAGAGGGCAGAGATATTGAGATCGGAACAATACATGAAACTTTGCCAGTCAAAACAAAAGATCGCTCAAGTCATGAAAACAATTTATTCTCCGTCATGTGTTGTTCATTTTGAGAAAGAGTTTCGAATACATATCGATGATCAAGCTACTGACCTTAGATTTTCTATCGAAAGCCCTTAACTTAGATTTAAAATAAATAAATAAATAAATAAATAAAAGTATATTGTTTTATTTTATTTTAATGTTTATTAATACATGAAAGATAAAAGTGCAAAAATATCTTAAGTATTTTCTATAAGGTTTGGTTTAAACCTCGATTTTTTTTGGGATTACCTTTTGAGCTACTTTGGTTGTAGTTTTGGTCGTTAAATTGAAATGATTAACATGACCTCCTGATTTTTTTTTTTATCTTTTTCTATTTAATTTAATGTTTTATTATATTAAAAGATAGGACCCATGCATCTCTCTCTCTCTCAAACAGAAATGATTCCCGAGGATCTCTTACGGTGGTCGCAAATCAGGGAAACGAATCAATACCTTCCGAACCACCTTAACTTTGTATGTATCTTTCTCTCACACCACTACCTGATGGAGTTGGATCTAGAAAGTCGATTCCTAAAGGATTCGGTGAAAATCGTGAACTCAATAAGTAAGATATAATTTGAAAGAGATTGAAAATTCTCGAATTAAGGGAAAAAAGTAGATGGGTGATTTCATTCTTCCTTTTTATACTTATTTTTATCGAATTAGGGTAAATTTGTAGTTTTGAAAGAGAAATAGATGATCAATTTACATGAGATAAGAAATTCAAGAATGGTTCGATTTCAGACGAAGAAAGCAAGTTTTCTTTAGTGAGCATATTAGGAAACAGAGTAGTTAAATCTTTTAATCTTGATTTTCCTCGATAAATTTATGCACTGGCTAAAAAGTGAAAGGTCCTAAAAATAAGACCCAAAATTTTCATTTTTAATTTTATAAAAACAGTAATCCAAAACATTATCATACAACCCAAAAGACCAACGCATGTCACGACATCATATCATATCAAAGTAAATCTCAGAATGCAGAAAAAGGTGGTGTGTGTTATGCAATCATTACGGACTCTTCCCTTTTGATCCTGAAGTACCTTAAACATAAACTAAAATCTGTAAGCCCAAATCTTAGTGATCCAGAAGGTGGTGTGTGCTCTGAAATCATCATGGGCTCTTCCCTTTTGATCTAGAAGTACCTGAAACATAAACTAAAAATTGTAAGTCCAAAGCTTAGTGAGTTTCCCAAAATACCATACACCATACATAAATAACCACACACTAGGCCCTCGCCCCACATCGGGCCTCTCCCCACATCGAGTCTCACTCGACCTTAGGCCCCACCCGACATCGAGCCCCGCTCAGATTACATACATGTCATTCATTAGGCCCCGCCTGACATCGGGCCCTGCCTGGTACACATAATAAACCTATAAACATATAATCGTGCTAACACATGTGATAATCACATAACAATAGCATATGTTACATTCATTGGGCCTCGCTCGGTATACACATACCAACACATAACACATGCAAGAGTCACACAAACATCTATCATCCTAACATAATAATCATGGGCTGGAATTTGTGCCTTCGACTCGCTAAACCCAGTGAGAAAACTCACCTCAAATTGTTGAATATCACAGTTAAATCTTTGTTTGTTGGCCTGCTAAAATCCTTGTGCTATCAGTCACAAAATAACATCCATTTAATACATGGATCTCGACTCACACTAAGTGTCCAAACTGGGGTAAAAGGCCTTTTTATCCTTTACCCAACGTGGCCTAAGGCCAAAGCCCAATCTAACAACCCAAAAAGCCCAAATTCCAAAATAATCACCCAAAGCCCAAATACAGCCCAATTTTCCAAATTGGGCCCAAATCTCTTTCATAGGCCTTCAACCAAAAGAGTCTAATAAAATAGCATCAGCCCAAAAATAGAATTCTGATTGCCCAACAAGGCCTAAGACCACTAAGGTCCAACATAGGTCCAATACTGAGAAGCCCAAAAATTCGAAGCCCACTGCTGAGTACGGAGGCCGTACTCAGCTCATACACTTAGTGTACTCGCTTTGGGGCTTGTACACGTATCGTACCAGCTTGAGCGCCCAACATAGTCCCCATCTTGGCCAACTTCCATCATTAAGCTCTCAATTGGTTAAGACTTCAACCCAACACTCAGATTTGACTTCCTTAAAGTGGTTTATCACGTAAAGTTGGCAACTTTACGTGCATGCATGGCTTAATGAGGTTCTATAGGTCAAAAGAACTTAATCAAGGGTTTTAACACATGCATGAGTCCATAAACACCTCAAATCTTGCATTTTTATGGATAAGGGGACCAAGAGAACCCTATATCTACCATCAATCCACTTTTGGAGTGATTTAAGAGGCTTAACAATCATTCCAAGGACTCAAAAAGCACAAAATGGCACCAAAACTATATCTAGCATCATAGATTAGTAAAATGAGAGCTTTTTACCTCACAATGATAACAAATGATGAACAAATCTCATATCCTCAAGCTCCAAGCACAACTCCAAGTGGTTCACTTCTTTTTTTTCCTTCACAATGCACCATCCAACACACTTTATAGCTCAAAACTCTCAAGATCTCACTAGGGTTTTGATTTCTGGACAAGAGGGGATGGAGGCTATTTAAACATAACCAAATGATTCCATCATAGGCTTAAATAGGGTACAATACCCTAAAAATTAAGGTTTCATTATCCACACTTACGCCATACATACTATATGTACGCCCATCATACGTGGACCAAAGACGGGATCACTCCGGGCTAGTACGCTAAGTGTACCACCCTGTACGCCCCGTGTACTAGCTTGAAAGCCAAAAAGAAAGGAATTTCACTTAGGGTTAAGAAGAGACATACATGGATATGGATGTGATATGGGCATATTTAGTTATAAAATTCATGCATTATCTTAATACTTTATGTTGTTTTTGTCTCATTTAATGAATGAAAGGTGATTAATTAGTTTAGAATCTCATTTTTCAGCAATAATGACATGCTCAGAAGGAAAAGGAAGCGGAACTAGCGATTGGAGGCTTGGATCTTGGATTTTGAAGAAAGAAGGATGTTGCTGGACAGCTTGACCTCTCGTCAGTGTTTTGGCCCTATCTCATGAACCGTAACTCTGATTGACGAGATTCAAAATGTTCTGAAAACTAGACACAATTTCGGACGACTTTCATGTTTTGAAAAAATGTTGATTCCAAACGGACTCGACAAGTAGGCCATTAACTCGATGAGTTGGTCAGAAGTTCGCGATTCTTGACTTTGCCTTGCCGTACACGGGATTTTAAGTGATGGACTCGTCGAGTAGGTCACTGGACTCGCCGAGTAGCCCCTGTTTTCAGGATATATATATATATATATATATATATATATATATATATATATATATATAAACGCTTCTCATTCGAACCCTAACGAATGGGGGAACCCTTGGGGGTTAATTTGCGACTGGAGGTGCAACTAGAAGCTCTAGAACTCGTGGAACAACCCTAGCTTTCAATTTTGAGAAGATAAAAGGCAATTTAGGTTTAATCTTTACTTAATCTTTTGTTTGAACTATGTGTAAACTATTAGATTTCGTTTTTGATAAACTTTCTGCTATAATCATGAGCTAAAACTCATAACTTCTGTTTAGGTAGATGAATTTGTGAACATGGATTGATTATTTGATTAGGATTAATTTTAATTGGTGATTATGTTTTATTAAGCTTGTTAAAGAACCTTATGTGTTAACAATAACTATTCTTATGTTAATAAATCAGTAATTAAGTTGTATGAACATCTCTTAGTTATGAATTTCATATGATTTATTGTGACCACATAGTTGTATGTCTAGGAATAGCGAATGTGAAACCAGAATTAACTAGAAGATTGGTAAGTTAATGTGTGAGCTTGTTTGATGAACATCAACAAGAGGTTAATTGAAGGGCCAATTTAATTAACCATTACAAGTCTTATTTAACCTGAATCAATAACTAGGAAATCCATTAATTTAGACAACTGGCCACTGCTTGAGTTAATTTGTTTCCTAAGGATTAGTAATAGCGAACGTGAAACTAATCATCTTAGTCGGTAGCCAATGAAGAATTAATCTGATCCATTGAAATCATCCATGGTAACAAATGAGTCGAACCTAAACAGAAGTCTTCTTTATTATTGAATTTAGTTGATTTTTATTTGCTTAGCTCTTAGTTTCTTAGTTTAAGTTTTAGTTAATTGTTTAAGTTTCTAGTCTTTCAAAACTAGAGAAAACCCATTTTCTATTACTTGTTTTATTTAGATAATATTAGCATTTATTTTAATTGTTTACCATTCCCTATGTTCGATACTCTACTTACCTGAACTAAACTGCTAATCGATAGGTACACTGCCTTTCGTGTGTTTGTCTTTGTGTTTAAGTTAGTAGGATTAAAACTAATTGGTTTTACACACATCGAGTTTTTGGCACCGTTGTCGGGGAACGGTTCAAATAGTTAATTTTATTTGCTAATTGTTATCGTTTTTATTTTATTGATTATTTTTTATTTAGTTTATTTTTTATTTTTATTTTTGTTTATTATGTATTTTCCAAATCTCGATGCTTTTGATGCTTTTCTTGAGGAAGTAGTGCAGAAAACTATGCAAGAAGATGAAGAGTATGACTCAGATGAAGATTTGATAAAATTCAAAAGATGGTTAGATAACATCTTGTCTAACGAACAAGAACAATCTGAGTCACAAGAGCTAGATTTACAAGATGAAGAATTTAATCCAGAAAGAGATTTGGAGGAGCTGGAAAGATTGATGGTAGAGGGGTCAGACGAAGAATAAGAACAAGCTGAATTGCAGGAACCAACCTGTGGTTTGACCATTACCACGACATGGTCCCCTGCTCTTCCGGTTTGTGTTTCGAAGCATAGGGTGACGATTCCAACTTTGGAGAAAGTTCTAAATCACGATCCATTTATGATTAGTATCCAACCGGTTCCAACCCTTGTCAATATTCTTGGGTTTTATGAATTCAAGCTCGTTTGGCCAATTTTTGAAGCAAAGAGTCGAATTTTACAAATTGGTACACAGAAAATATTTAATGCAATGGATGGATGGGCATCAAATTTA